ATGATTTTTAGAGGGGCACACTGGGTTGATCAAACCAACGGGAACTGTTGAGGAATCCAAGGACTGGATAGGTGGGAAGCCATTTCTACTGCTAGGAGTCTAGGGGAATACAAGGTAGGATTGAAAACTGGTCTGTTGGACAGAGCAAGTGGTACATGGGCTTGCAGAATGATGCCAAAGCAGGGAGGGAGCAGCATCATGATTTCCAGCCATGCTCTGATCACATGCAGGTTACTCTCACTAACCACAACCAGAAACCAGAGAAAGGGAGCTCTGGTGATTTATGAAAGCACGCTGGGGCACAGTGGGGCAGAGTAACTAGATTTGGGGGGGGGATATAAAATATTAAGACTACCTCCTTTAGAAGAATAAGCAAGTGATTTTATTGTTCTGGATCAGTTGTCTCATTTATGAAACAATGTTTTGATGATTTTTGAGATAATACATTCAAAAGCACCTGTAAAAATTGCTCATCAGTAATATCCTTCACTGAGCACCCACATCTCATGATACTTCAGTGTCTTCAATAGGAACTCCTCAACCTAATGCTATAACTGTGCAACCACTCAAGCCTCACTGTTGACCTAAAAAGTTTCCTGAGACAAAAGAAATGTGGATATAAATCTTATAAAAGATATGAATAGGAAAAAATAAGTGATTTTTATTAATGGCTTTTTGTTCTGAAAAAGAAAGGAATAACACAAAATAAGCAAGATAAGCTTTTACTCATGAAATCTATCTTCCTCCCTCACCTGTGATTTCTGAGCACTAACTCAAGTGATGGATAGCTCCATGAGATATAAAAGTCCCATTCTTTCCCCTCTCTGGAAGTCTTCCCAGAATCCAGTGTTTAAAATGTGTTCTTCCTTGTTGTCCCAAAGTCTTTAGATATCTAGACAGATTACACTAGTCTTGGATTTATCTTTGCTGGGCCAGAGTCATCTAGGATTATTGTAATGGGGTAGACATTTCCAGAAAAACCATGAGTTTGGAAGCGGATTTCTAAATCTGGACCTATTCAATTAAACACAACTCCATAAGTGAAAGCTGTGATGTCACACAGTTAGAAATAGCTTTGACATTTGCAATCACAAGTCTTTCTTTTTTGGAGATATTACCATCATTTTCAGACAGTCCTAAAAGGGACTTTGGAAATCAGTTAGTTGAATTGCCTCATTTTTAAAATGAAGAAACCTGGAACACAACAACATAATTATAGAATGAGAAATGACCTTAATTTCCAGATTCTTAATTCAGGATCTTCTTACTTTAATATATGATCTGTTTGCATTAAATCCTTATAGTCAAGCAAGATTTCTGGGGCGTTAAATTCTTCATATTAAGTATTATCTATCAGATATTCACTTTTTAAGTTAGCCCAGCAATGAACAAATTTGGAAAAGAAAGAAGTTTAAAAACATAGGCATACCAGACAGTGCTCATGACTGTTTTATAAATGTCCCAAAACTTCATCTGGGAGAAAGAACATTCTTTCTTGTTGACAGAAAGTAATCCATCATGAGTCTTGATTTTCTCATTTTCTTAATGCTATATGATCATTTAATCACTTTCTAAATGACTATAATAATTCTGTCTTCTTTCTTTCTCTCTCTAAAAATAGTAGTTGTCCTTCATCAACTAATTTCAGTGGCTTTTAAATACTGCTGTCTGCTCTAGATTTCAGGGATGACTTCTAACTTTGTCAGTTACACAGAGTGGGCCAGCAGTACCCTGTTTGACTTAACTCCCTCAGATGCCTTCAGATCCCAGCAACGGGAGACCGAGTGTTTTCAGAATCTGCATATTAGATCTGTGGTATAATGACTGATGTCAGCTCTGACTTTGCCAAACATCTCTCATCACTACTAGCTATATCCCATTCCAAACTATTGGGCTTGCTCTCCCTTTCTGGAGACACCCCCTTCCACATACTTGCAGTATGGATTCAACAATATGACAATCTTTTTCTTTTCTTAAAGTGCCACTGCTGTGATGGGTAAAAATAACTTGTTACCATTGTCACTGCCTGGCTGGGGGAGGTGGGAGAAATGAGAAGTTGCAGTAACTAGTCTGGCTATGTTTAACCCTTGATCCTAGACCAAAACTATTCTATTCTCTGGCCTTGAGTCTTTTAAAACTCCTGGCTATCCAAGCTCCCTGGGACGACAGAGGTTTTTAGAGAAAAAGATGCAGTAAATGTTGACCTCTGTGTTGAGCCTATGGTTATTAACTTCCTTTAGGCTTCAGCCCTGAAATCCACTGGGAGCCACAGGCTTCTGTGGATGTTCTATTGATTGAAGAGGGAAAAAGTAACCATGTTGCAAGAGAGAGAGAGAGAAAGAAAGAGAGAGAGAAACACAACAAAACAAACAATCCAGCCGTGGCACTCTTTTGGTAAGGTTCTAGGACAGTTGAGGGCATGCAAGACTCAGCCAGCCAAGTAAACACACATTTAACAGTACAGTGACATGGATCAGGAAAAAGTTATTGTAATGCACAGCATCAGGAAAGAAAGAATACTTGCCTTGTTTATTTAATGTTTTCCTTATGTTTCTTCCAAACAGTGCTTACTCCTTGACAAGCTTGTCTTACTCCTTGCATCTAGCACTTCTTTTCTGGAATGGCTCAAGTACTGTAGCTTCTCCCTGGGTTTGTTTATTTATTCACACTGCCATCCCTGTTCTCATCCAAACTAACATATGTCTGCACAGCACACGGTGAAAAGTCAATGTCTTTCTTCATGTTTATTTCCCTGAAGTTGTTCACCAAATTGCTTTTTTACATCCCTCTTGCAATCTCACCCCATCCGGCTCAAGTATCCCGGATTAGAAAGGCTGTCCCTGGAGCCATTTTCAAAGGGAGCCTCCCATAGCCTTTAAATCCCCCACATTTTATGGTGCAGATATTCAGGATCTGAGGTATTAAGCAAGAAGGAAAGCAAAGCTTGATGGGGACAGGCACAGAAAAAAAAGAGAGTAGCTTCTTTTTTGAATAATCATTATTGGAATTGTCCTGTTATCTGGAACATTTCTGGTTCAAAGTGATAAACAGTCACTTACCACTAGACATTATGCAACAGATAGTGAGAGGGCTCTGTGTGTGGGTATGCGCATGCCCGGTTTACAGAAAAAGTTTCACCACAGAAACAGGAATTTGCAAGTGGGAATTCCTAAAAGTAAGACAAAAATCATCGTCCTGATGGCATTACTATCTTCTTAGTAATATCTAACCTAGAGATAAGTTAGGTCTGCTTTTGAAATGCCAACACAAGTATGCAAAGTAATAACTGACACTTAATGAAGGACTTAGCATCAAAGGGCCAGCTTCTCAGATCCTAATTTTTGGCACCTTGAAAAGCACGCACATTTCACTTTCCCTTCCTTTTGCATCCAGGCCCTTTCATTTCCTCAGTCCTGCTTCTGGGCTGTACAACAAATACACCACTGGACGACTCCTGAGCCATGCAATTCCTAGCATGGCAAGCTTGCAAAATGGGATGGACAGGGGCCATAACCTCCTTTTCTCCTCTAATTTATCAACACATATATTGAAGGCAAGCCAGTAGCAGGGATCTCAAATGAAGGAAAGAAACACACATCTTAACGTGTTTCCCCCAAAAGGCTCTGGCGATTTCCTAAGCCTAAATTATTGGACCGTAAGAATTAGCAAGGTGTTTATGAATCCAGGACTGTTTCAAAGGGGCCTCCCAGAAGTTTGGCGCTGTGAAAAGCTGTGGCGCTGCAGAGTGCAGCCCTTCAGATAGTCTGTTAAATACGACACATAGGAAAGGTGTCGATCAAAATCACTTTAGGGGCTTGTGACCTCCAGCTAAATACTTCAAGAACTACCGCAAGCTCTTCCGCCTTGTGCTCCTGGAGACAAGAGGTGAGCAGCTCACCAACGACTAGGAACAGCCAGTGTGTACAGCGCCCAGAAGAGCAGGCCCTTGGTTCGCCTAGCCCTGGGTGCGCCAAGGAACCTTACTCCCCCGCTGCCTCGGATCCCTACTTGGCGCTGGGAACGGAAGAAAGTAGTGGGATTTCCCCACCTCCCCCAAGGCGCAGCCCCCAGATGAGAAACCAGAATGTACATGGAGTCCTCTGTAGCAAGTTGGAAGACGAGGGTGACGGAGCGCACCCAGCCAGAGCGAGCAGGCTGCCGAGGGAACTAACTGCCTGAGGGGAGGAGGAATCTTCCAAAGTCTCAGCCTAGGCTCGGTGTGGAAGGCAGCCGCCGCACCATTGCTCTTCTAGCCGGACGCAGAGGAGCGCGCTCGCCTCGCGTCCTCCTGCTCCGAGCAGGTAGACCGCGGCGTAGCTGACCGCCAAGAGCAAGGAGTTTCCTCCCGACCACCCGCCCGGCGTCCAGCTGCAGCTACTTTTGTTGAAAGAAAAGGCGAGACACTGCAGAGGGAAGGCTCTGCAAAGCTGGAAAGCGATCTGCCAGGGGCAAGGGGCCCCGGAGCGGGGGCAGTCGCTGGGGTGGGTGGGGGGCGCAGGCCACCTTAGCGGAGCGCGACGGCCTCTGGCCAAGGAAACCAGACCGACTAGGGTGCCGGGGCCACTCCTGCCCGCCAGACCTTCGCCTTCTGCACTCCCAGCCCCCAGCGCCCACCTCTCCCGCCGGAGCCGCCCTTCCGAGGGGCTCTTGTCTGCACGCAGTGCCTAGCCCCCGCCCCCCACCCCCGGCTCGGGCTCTGCCGTCGTCTTGGCAGTGTCCAGAGATGCTCCGCCGCAGACCCGGGACCCCTTAGGCGCCTCTTCCCGTCCCTCTGCCAAATCGCAACGCCTGTACTTTTCCAGCTCCCTCTTTCCCTCTTGAAATTGAAAGTTATTGAGGTCGCTCAGGGTTGTTGCTCCAGCAGTTTCCTTCCCCGCCCCCGAGCTCCCCCCGCCCCCCGCAGCCATCCCCCCTCCCCCTCCCTCTCTCCCCCCTCCTCCCTATGGGGTACTCCCGGGAGCCCAGCCCAACAGTGGAGCGGCTTCTGCTCGCGCAAACCAGAAGCAGCTCGGGGTCTCTCCGCCGCCCCTTGGCCATGGCCGCGGTGCCGACGGCGCCCGCTCCCCTGCGCTCCCGGGGCCCCCGCCGCTGCCGCCGCAGCCGCCGCAGCAGCCTCTGAGCCCAACTGGCCGCCGCCTTCGCCGCCCGCCCGGATCCCGCCCGCGGCCGCAGCGGCCGCGCACCATGCTACCTGCGGCCGCCGGGGCGGCTCCTTGGAACCCTTGCTCGCGGCGATGACAGCCACCCCAGAGAAGCCGCGGCAGCTCAGTCCTCGGACAATTTGAAAGTACAATAGTTGGTTCCCTGTCCACTCGCCCCGCTCCGCTTGCCACCACAGCACGCCTGTCGGATCTGAGTGGAGAAGCCCGCTGCTTGGCTTCCGTGCTGCCTGTCTCGCTCTATAGACGCCTGACATATAGGGTTTAAGACATTAACTGTAATTAGCAATCAAAAGAAAAAGGAGAAAAGGAAGGGAACCATCACTGGGTTACTATGCACTTGCGACTGATTCCTTGGTTTTTTATCATGTTGAACTTTATGGAATACATCGGCAGCCAAAACGCCTCCCGGGGAAGGCGCCAGCGAAGAAGTAAGTGCAGGGCTTTTTACGCGTTTGCTCCCTCCGGCCGCTTTCACCTGTCCGGTCGCTTTGCCTGTCCTGTCTGTCCCCAGCGCCAGGGGTCCGCTCCTCCTGCACCCCTCGCCTCCCAGAGGCGGTTAACAGTCCGGGCTCTGGGGCTTCCGCTGGCGCCTTTCACGCGGTGCGTCGCCGAGCCCCTGTGATCCTCAGCATCCTGCGGGTGCGCTAGTCGGGCGGACTGGGCGCTAACGCAGCTCTGGCCGCCTCTGGACTTCAGGTTCCCGGGAGTCCTGCGTTAGACTCGCCCGAGGGATGCGTGCTTTCCTCTTGAAGCTTGGACCGGGGCCTGGAACCCGGGCAGCTGGGACGCCTGGCCCGACAGACGCCCCTGACCGCCGCGTAGACGCCGGCGCCGGGGGAGGCGCGGCTGCGGCAGCCGCTCACCTAGCGCCGCGGACCCCGCGCTGGGCGCTCCTGCTGCGCCCAGGTCGCCCAGCGCCCGCCGGCCGCAGGGGCACCTAGCGAGCCAGCGAGCGCCTGCGCGGCCGCGTCCCTGTGCGCTCACGGGCGGAGCAGAGGGACACGCAGGGCGCCGGGGCTCGCGTGCACGTGGCTTTGCGGAGCCACCCGACAACCCACGCCCCAGGGGCTTGAAGACAGCCGCATCCCGGCTCCAGCAAGCTGGAGGTGCCGGGGTTCCAGTTACTCTTGTCGGCCACACGTGAGCGCTTTCCGTATTTCAGGCCCTTCCAAGGGGTCCCCTGAGACAGACACAGAGGAGGGTGGCTTCTCCCTGCAGACTCCCGCTTGCCGCCCCTTTTTCTGGCCCTTGGGAAGTTGGCTAAGTGATGGCTGCTCCAGATAGTGCCCTACCTGGGATTAAACGGGCACCGCCAGAGCGTGCTCCACCCGGGTCGGTCTGTGTAGGGAGTGGCGCATGCCTGAGACGCAGGGACAGACGTGCGGTTGACACTTCTCCCTGCTCCTGGGTAGCCAGCCCCATGTGTCCCCCTTCGCAGATTTGCAGAGCCCTTGGTGACCCTGGCTCCATCGTCAGGGACTCTGCGAGAGGAAAGGGAGGCGGGAACCCTTCCTGGAGCTCGGGGGGTGCAGAGAGCGATGCCACCGCCCGTCCCCTCGGACTTGCGCGACGGGACTGGGCTGTCTATGACCGGCGGCCTCGCCTTGTCCCCTGCGCGGAGCCCCCTGTGAGCGTCCGGCCAGCGACGCCCCCTCGGGGCAGGCGCTGGGGCAGCGCAGAGGACACAACACGGGCTTGTGTGGGATGGAAATTCAGTAATCGCTTCTCCCATCTCTGTTTGTCTCTGCCCTGGCCCTGGGCGTGAGGGTCCCCTGAAAGCTCCCTTTATACCGCTCGCCTCGGCCAAACAAGGTTTGATTCACCTGGAAATTGCCCTTTAAAAACGTGGCTGGGGCCGGAGCGGCGGCCTCACTGCCTCTAGAACCGCGTAGCAGGGGCAAGGAGGGAGGACCAAAAGGAAACATGTGAGGCATCCGATTTATTATGCTTGGTCTCTGAATGGCTTGTATTCTTCAGGACTCTCCCACCCACTCTTTTTTGCGTTAGCGGTGCGGCCGCCTCTCGGAAGGAGTGTCCCGGGGCTCCGCGGATCCCCAGCGGGGTCCTGTGAGGGCGGTGGAGTCGCGCGGTCCCTGGGGTCCTGCTTGGCCCCTGGTCTCCTCCAGCTAGTGCCAGTGACGTCCTCCGCCCGCGGAATACACCTCTGGCTAGGAGCCACACATTGGCTAGGGCGAGGCAGGGTCCTGAGTGTCAGAGGGGTCTCCTTTTGTGGCTCTGGGCCCCCTGTTTCTGAAGACAGCCACCGGAAAGGAAGCGTGATGTCCGTTTGTTCGCACCTCCCCCAGCGAGGACCGCGGAGTGGGAAGCTGGGGCGGGCGCTGTCCTAGGGCTTGGGGGCGCCTCAGGCTGGTGCGCCGCCGCGCTCAGAGGAGAAGCGACTGCCAAGGCCCACGGCGGGCGAGCTGCCTTTGGACGTGCATTAATGATCTCAAGGCCAAGGCAAAGGCGCCCTCCGGGGCTGAAGGAGGAGTGGGTGGAATCATATTGAAATTCCAATTATTCTGTGGGAGTGGGTGTGAGAGGGAAGGCTCTAGCAGGGATGCTCCGTGCTTCTTGGCACTTGAGTCAGCCTTTGCTGCTGCGTTTGCAGCCGTAATTCTGGGAGAGGGGCGACCCCTTGCGTCCTGTGAGGAGACGGACGACATTCTCTTTTGGCAGGTGCAGTGTGATTTCGGAGAATGAGAGGGGTATAGGGAGGACTTCTTTAAATGTCCTGTACTTCAAGGTCCCATTGCTTATGTACAAACTCATATGGGTCGTTTCTTCGGAAACCTCTGAATGAAAGAAGATTTTCTCAAACAGGGACTCCAGGAAGCGTTTTGAAGTGAAAAATAGAATGGTCAAATATATTTTTAGGAAGGCCAACTTCTTTATTCTTAACGTGAATATTTAACAGCATCCCTTTTGGCTTGGAGATGAATATCTTAATTGTCCTCGACTTTTAAAACCGCCACTACAGGTACGAGAGCAGAAAATTAAGGTTCAAGAATGGGTTTTCAAAGCTTTGCTTGGTAGGCTTTTGAATAAGTTTTAGCACAAAATTTTCTTGCAAAGATATTCATTTGCAGCGTTAGATACTGTAAGATGTAAAGAACCGTGGCTTATCCTCACAAACAAAGCCATTTCACGTTCTCCCATTCCCTAAAACAACGGTTCTTCCATTTGTCTGTTTTGTTGCAAACTAATGATCCCAGTTGTTACAAACTAGTGTTTCCTCTTATGAAAGAATCAGTGTTTTAAATAGCGGAGTACTTTTAAAATATCTATTTAGCTATGGGTGAATAATTACACGATTTGGATTTATATACAGCTTACAGACATGACAAAATTGAATTTGCCAAGATAACTAAGTGCAACCCCTAATTTTTTAAAAAAAATGGCAGTGTTTTAGAGGTAAACCTTAGCTTTAAGTGCTATCCTAAATCAAGAACCCTTAACTAAAGGTTTGTTTGTTTGTTCAATTCATTGCTGAGAGGGAGAGAAAGAGAGAGAGAGAGCGAGAGAGAGAGAGACTTCCCAGATGCCCACAATGGCCAGGACTGTTCTGGGGCTGAAGCTGGTAGACAATAACACAATCCAGGTCTCCAAAATGGGTGGCAGGAACCCAATTACTTGAGCTGTCACTATTGCTTCACAGGATTTACATTAACAGGAAGTTAGAGTTAGGAACTAGAGCTGGGAATTGAATCCAGGTACTTTGATGTGGGGTGTGGCAGTCTTATCCACTAAATGCCCATCCTGAACTCAGTTTTTAGCTCATTTCCAGGTCAGCCTTTTCAGCTTGCTACTACAGTCAACCTCTGACTTGCAAGTTGTGTGCTAGAAACTTTAAAAATCCCCAGAGTCGTAATGATAACATAATACCTCACCCGTTCATTGCAGTTCCACTTGGATTATTCACTTGAGCCCCAGATAGTCACAAGTTACTCTTAAGTAACTGGAATGTAAGAATAAGTATGAAGTTAAATGCCATAGTATCAAGGCAGATGTTAATTGTTTTACTTTTCAGAAAAAGGACCTGAGAAACAAGAACTAAGCAACTCACACGAATTCATACAACTACTAAGTGGAACCTGATTCCTGCCATGAGTTGCATGGTTATTTTTGCACTTACGCTGTATGCTAACTCATGACATAGACAAGATATTAGCCTTAGTGAGTAATACATTTTTGGGCTCTAGGCCATAATTTATCCAATATGATGGAGAATAGCTGTTTGGATAGTCTGGAAATATTTAAATTGATCTGTATCTATATGTATTATACCTTGATGACTAATGTCAAAGAAGCAAATCTGTAATGGTTATAGTGAGGTTTGCTAAGTAGAATATTTTATTTGATTGGTCAGAAGACATTGTAGGGCCATGTTGTGCCAGAGTCTATTGTTAGAAACATCAGATGCTATTTAATGTCATTTTTATTTGACACCATCTATTAATTGGGTTCTAATTGTTCAGATTCTAGATAAATGCAAGTTTTGACAAGTCATTATATACATAATAATTACAAAGCACACCATTGCACAATCTATAAAACTTTTTAAAGTCTTTCATAAAGAAGCCTGAAAAAAGAATCAAGAATACAATGAAAATAATTCTAATGGTAGTAAAATAAAAACAGACTTACTTGAATATACTAGTCACTGCTCATGGCATTGTTTCAAATGTTGAGCTATTCTTTGAGATTCTGATACATTCATACTGATTACATTGCTAATCTTGGAGAATAATCAATTAACTGACAAAATAGAAAAAATTCTGTAATTCCATTTTCACTTTATAATACTATTTTGGAATTAAAGTTTGATTTGGAAATATATTACAATGCACTTTTCTCACCTGTCTACATTTATCGAAAGTCTACCATATTTTTGAGAGGAACAGTTAGGGACAGGACCAGAATTTTCTGGAGAACATATACTCTGTGAGATATTATGTGATATCCATATAAATCAAAGACAATTAATTTCAGACTCACAGGAGGTAGTAGCAACATCTAAATGCAAGCAAAAAGCATTTACTTTACTATCAGGATTGTTTAAATATCTTATTGTTAAACTATTTTAACTCTGTTATTACGTCAATAGAAAGATGACACTAAGAACACTAGAAATTTATTTTAAAATACTGTTATTTTAGCCTCAAATTACTCTAAGTAATTGAGAATGTAAGAATGAGTATGAAATTAAATGTCATTATTTCACAATTCTTTTCAAATGAAATATGAACTGTATTTTACCTTGTAAGTAGATAAGCTTTCTCAATCATTTATCCATTTAAAGACTTCCATGGCATTTAATATTCTACAAATTAGGTCCCCAGAAAGCAATGAATGGAAATTATGATGTGCAGTTAAATTTGATTTTCAAGGTATTATGAGGAAACCCTTGCTACACTACCACAAAATG